GAGGCTTCGTCTGACATACTTTGGACATGTTGTAAGGAGGGAGAGGACCTTGGAGAGGGACATCATGCTTGGGAGCATGGAGGGACGACCCAGAAGGGGAAGACCCTCTATGAGATGGATTGATTCAGTGACTCGGGTAATCGGGATGGGTGTGTTAGCAGCAGTGCGATTGGCACAGGATAGAGCAGGGTTTAGAGCTGTTGTACATAGGGTCACTTGGCACTTAACAACAACAACATATATAGAATAAAATTTTTCAAAATTCTGCAGTTGGAAAGGCTGCAAGAAATTAATGATTTATCTATACAAATTAAATACAGTAATTTCTTCCCTTCCCCCAGCAATAAAAAACATATTTCTTTGCCAAATTGTTCTTGGTTCCTGATTCTTTTTTTGTCTTTTTTTTCCTCCAACATCAAATCAGAGATAAATAACTGATGGATACAGGAAACTTACTCCTACCAGGAAGATAAAGAAATAATAGTCTTGCTAGAAATGTCTTTCTTTGCTAATTGGGTCAGAAGCCATGTAAACATAGCCTCTCCTAGATTCAAAGTATTTTAGTACGTAAAAGTTTATACCGGTTTTTCTTACTCTACTTTAGAACTTTCCAGGTGAAATGTTGTGAACAAATGCTATGTTATCTTGTCTTTTTTGTCTTTTACAGGTATATTATGCATATATAATGTAATAATTTTTTCCCCCATACTCTCTGATCACTTGACCAATTTGCAGATGTTTTTATGGAGTTAAACATGCACATCTCACTTAACTACATTTCAGATGCTAAGTGAAAAAACGTTGTCTGTTGACATCAAATTTGTTGGAGGTTTGGGAGGTATAAAGAAATAGGATGGAAAAATTCTGTACCAGTTATACACACTCAAAAGACCTATGTAGGTAAATATACATAAACAGCTGTTTGAGTAGATGTTTAGATACAGTAGTAAGTATGTGAGATAGAGGATACTTAGCAGAGTAAATAGACTGAGTTGTCTGTGCCTATTTGACTTGCTCATTTGTTTGTCAGGAAGCACAGATTGAAACAACTCAGTGCATATTCTTTTGCCAAGTTGATTTTGAGGTCTTGATTATTTATCTGTTTCTCCCCACCAGTGAATGAGAGCAAAATGCCTGGCCAGGCATATATACAGCAGTGCTAATAGAATGTGAAGAACTCTAATATTAACTACACAAATCCTAACACCTTTCTGATATTTTTAAGTGCTATTTTTAAGCTAGTGTAACAAATGACATAGAGCCATTTATTCAAGCAAACAAAGTGGTATTTCTTTGGTGTCTCTTTATAGTTTTGACTCTTTGGTTTTGTCCTCATAGATGTTTTCTCCCAGATGTCAGATTCCAATGGCTTATTGATATTTAGCAAGTTTGACCAGTTTCTGAAGGAAGTTCTGAAGCTCCCAACAGCAGTCTTTGAAGGGCCATCTTTTGGTTACACAGAGCACTCAGTCCGCACCTGTTTCCCACAGCAGGTAAGGGCAGTTTTCTAGAATCCAGGACTAGGCTGGCGCTTCGCTTATTTGTCTTTCTGCCTTTCCCTGGTGTTCTCCACGTTGCTTCTAGCCTAGAAATAACAGTCTTGAAATGGGGAGGACGAAGTACTTTAAAATGGGAAAATTTAGTAAGTAAACAGAGGGGAAATGGATATAAAATATCACCTGAGAGCTCTTTTAGTGTGTGTGTGTGTGTGTGTGGGGGGGGATCTTTTAATGATGGCATTTGAAATATTTGATATTACTGAGATTTTACAGAAAAGTACTTAAGATGTAATGTTTCCCAATTGAGTTTTAAAAACCCTAAGTTACAGAGATTCTGATTTTAAATGTTCATTGTCACTTCCTGAGCGCTGAAGATAAAGAATGCTGCACAGCTCTCAACTGCCAGCGAAAGATCTCCCACAGTACACTACCATTTTCATATGAAAGCTGATGAGTTTGGTTTCCTGTTTACTTGTGGGTTTCTTTTTGTGGTCTTGACCTTGAGGCTGGTGTGAGCAGATTGCTGTGATCTTTACTGTGCCTCAAGGAGTTGGGAGCTGGGTGGACCCTGATGGAGCATTCGTACATTCAAGTAGAGGTTACACACAAAAAAAGATCTTATTGTTTAATTTTCTTAGAAGGTTCTAGAAAGGGAAATGGGAAAAAAAAATTCTATGGTAAAACTACTAAAAGATGGTAAAAGATGAATAAGATTTGACCTACTGAGATAATATGAAAATACCTTCATACAAGATACTTCTAAATAACACAGGCGGCATAGTCACTGTGCAGTATATCTTTTAGCAACCCCTGAACCAAATAATCAAAGTCTCCAGGATGGGATGCATGGATTTATTGGGCCACTTGCTAAAATGTACTAGAAGCACAGAATAGTAAATCACCCATCTTTCTTTCAAGGAGTAGCTGGTAGATTCTAATTGCCTGCCTTTTGGTTGGACCCAAATGGAGAGATTTCTGTGACGTAGCTGACCTGTATGCTTCAAAAAGGTCTCTCGGAGTACAGTTTGTGCTCAAGTTTTAACCTAAAGGTTGGTAGTTCAAATCCATCCAAGGCACCTTGGAAGAATGACCTGATGACACAGATTCTGGAAAACCCTGTGGAGCACAGTTAGCTGTCTGATAAGGACATGGGGTCAAAATCAGCTCCATAACTTTTTTGCTTTTTTTTGTTTGCCTGGTTAATTTTTTTTTTAAATGACTCATATGCATCAGTGTCATGCAAGACCATGGAGTCTAAAGAAACATGAAAATTATTGCAACTCATGAGCCAGGATTTTTTTTTTCTTTCTTTCAGTTCTGCATGTCATTGTTGTGACATTTGTAAATATTTGAATAACTTCTGTAGATTTTATAATAACATTCTGGTAATGAAGGCCATTTTCTTTTTAATATTTGTATGTATTCATATGCTGTTAATTGTGTTTGGGAAGAACATTGTTCTAAGTAGTATAGCCCTTGTCTGTCAGTTTGCTGTGCTAAGATAACTTGGGGTTGCTGTGATACTGAATACTGTTCTACTGTTGTGTCACCTGCCCGATGGTTACCCATCGTGGACAGGGTTTGGTAGAGCTCCCAGATTACGATAGGCATGGAAGCAGGATTGGCATCCACCTCTTAAACAACAGGCCTCTAGACACTATGAACATTAGATGATAGTTTTAGAACAGGGTTCAGATCTTTTGTTCATAGGGTATCTATGAGTAGTATTCAAGTTTATGGCACTTAGCAACAGCAACGTGTAATTACATATGAGAATGCTGGTGATTTCTAATAAATCTTTGTAAGTGTTTTAGAGGAAAATCTCTAGTGTTAGTGCTTGGAAGAAATGGCTTAAGGGTAAATGGGAATTGTAGTGTCGTTTTTTAAAAATAGTGTTGTAATTTCTTTGTAAGTATGAATTATATAAAAGTTAAAATAAAAAAGGAACTAATATGAAAGTTTTTGTGTGGAAAGGATATTGTTTTAGCAATCCTCCTGACCTGGGATACTTTGGTTCACAAAAGAACCAAAATAGACCTTTTTTTTTTTAAAAAAAAAAAAAGGAATTTGTGTATGCTTGAATTTAGACTTTAAAAAATATTTTGTGGCTTGTCTCTGGGGTCAGTTAGCTTTAGCATGCAATGTAACATTTCTGTTGACAGAGAGTTACTTTTAGTAACTTCTGGGGTTTGACTATTTATGTTAATTATTGTGGTGTTAGCCTAAAAGTTGGCTTTTTTTTAAGCCATTTCTGTTAGCTTTTTCTGGTCTCCAGATACCTTAACTGCAAACACATGGTCTTGCAAATCACCAATAGCTGTAGGACTAGGATAAGAGAAAGGGTGCTTATATACTAACCTGCAAGACTTGAGGTAACTAGACTTGTGGCGGCAAGACTTGAGGAGACTGGAGCAAGACCCTGGTGAGAGCAAGACTCTGGTGGTGGTGAAGAGATTGTGGCATTGTTGTTGAGAAACTGTGGCAAGGTGTAACCAGAGGATCCTTGAGATAATTAAGGGATTTTGCTGTTCTTGCTTTTGATATTGGAAGGAAAAGCTGCTTGCTGAACTGAAACTGGAGCCTGGACTAAATGAGGAATTGTGCCTTGGAACTTGGCCTGACACTTGGATTTACATTGAGTGATATCCTTTGCTTCCCTCACTTTCCAACTTCTTTTCTTAATAAACCCCATTGTTGGTACCACAACTGTGAGTCAGCAACAAATAAATGAAACTCTTGCTACTGCTTCGGCTCTAGAAGCACCTTGAGATTGGACTATGGGCTCTCTGTCTGTTTTCTGCTCAGGGACAGTGAGGAGCCCCTGTGGCCTTTTCAGAGAGATGCTCATGGCATCTGTGCCTCTATGTCCTATTTTCTCATCTCTAGATAATTATCTTTACACTATTAAGGTTTTTTCCTGCCTATGTCAGTGGCATTGTCAGCATTTATTATATTAAAAATCTCTGAATGCTTTAATTTATTCTAATAAAAATATAGTTTGTCTTTTCCTTCCCACTGCCCTGAATATACATTTTAAATTGATGTGGTAATAAAAAAAGTTGTTAAGGCTGCATTGAAGGCATTGGTAAAATATAAGGCTTTAGGAATTGATGAGATGCCAGTTGATGTGTTTTAACAAGTATGTAGCCCTGGTTGTACTCATTAGTCTATACTAAGAAATTGAAAAGTCAGCAACCTGGCCAACAGACTGAAAGAGATCCATATTTGTTCCCATTCCAGTAATAGGAGATACAACAGAATGTGGAAATTATTTAACAGTAACATTAATATTACATTCAAGTAAAATCTTCCTGAAGATGATTTAAAAAATACCTGGAATATTACATCAGCATGGGACTGCCAGAAATTTAAGCTGGACTCAGAAGAGGCCATGAAATGAGGGATATCATTGTTGATGTCAGATAGATCTTGACTGAAAACAACGAGTATCAGAAAAATATTTACTTGTATTTTATGGACTATACAAAGGCATTTGACAGTGTGGATAATAACAAAATATGGATAATATTGATAAGAATGGGAGTCCTTGAGCACTTAATTGTGCTTTTGTAAAACTTACACATAGATCAAGAAGCAGTTGTCAGAACAAAACATAGGGAGAAACAATGTTAGGTTTAAAATCAAGAAAGGTGTATGTCAGGCTAGATCCTTTCCCCATACCTATGAAATCTGTATGAGGATATTATTCAAGAAGTTGGACTATATGAAAATGGTTGTGTCATGAAGATTGAGGAAAACTCATCAATCTATCTTTTGCAGTTAATACAACCTTGCTTGTAGAGAGTCAAGAAGACTTGAAGCACTTCTTGCAGAAGATCAAAGATCTTCAATGTACGGTACATCTCAATATCATGAAAACAGAAATCCCCACCACTGGACCAATTGGAAACATCATGAATGTGTTTGGAGACACAAACTGAAGTTGTCAAGGATTTAATTTTGCTTGGACCCACAGTCAACACCAATGGTACTAACAATCAGGAAATCAAAAGTTGTGTTGCATTGGGCACATCTTCTTTCAAGAACCTCTCCAAAGTGTTAAAGAGCAGTGGTGGCCATTTAAAGACTAAAGTGTGCTTGATCCAAGTAATAGTATTTTCCTTTATTTCCTGTTTATATGAAAGTTGGACAGTATAAAGATGTCAGAAGAATTGATGCTTTTCGATTGTGGTGTTGAAGAAAAGTACTGAATATTCAGTGGTTAGCCAGAAGAACAAGCAAGTGTCTTGGAGTAAGTGCAAAAAAGGTGCTTCTTAGAGGCACGGATCTTGAAACTTGATCTCATGTACTTTGGGCATGTTGTCAGAAGGGATGAGTCTTTGGATAAGACATCATGATGATAAAAAACATAATCTCAAGTGGTTGCGCACGCAGTACCCTGGGGTATTCCTGTATGTGATGATATATGTGGCTTTTCACACAGGTGTTACTTTGAATGAAGAGTTAAGTTACTCAGTTTTTAAAGGCTTGAGCATGACCACTTAAGCTATAGCTGTTGATCTTTCCCCATCAGGAGCAAAGAAGAATGAAGAAAAACTTAAAAGACGATTAGTCCCAATGTCAAGAAAATAAAAATCTTGATGACTGAGCCAATGGACAACATCATGATAGATGGAGAAAATCTTGAAATTGCTGTTATTTAATCTTACTTGGATCCACAATCATCATCCTTGGTACCAGCAGTCAGAAGATCAGGAGATGTATAGCATTGGGAAAGTCTGCTGTCAGGGACCTCTCCAAAGTCCTGAAAAGCAGTGATGTCAGTTTAAAGGGTAAAGTGCACCTGATTTAAGCTATGATCTTTCCAATCACTTTCTATGCATCTGAGAGCTGGACAGTGACTTAGGGTGACAGAAGAATTGATGCCTTTTAGTTGTGGTGCTGGAGAAGAGTATTGACTATCCCATGGAACAAATATACATGTCTTGGAGAAATTGTAACTAGAGTGTTCCTTAGATTCAGGAATGGTGAAG